GAAATTCCCTTATTCCGAATAGGATTGCTCACAAGAAAAGGGAAAAGTTGACAGCTATGCAACAACAATACAATAATCTCTAATTTCTTCTGTTGTTCATTGTTCAAATCCTGAGTTCATCATACTATAGTATTTCTTTAAGTATTCCGAAAAGGCTTCCATTCTTCCACAAAACAATTGTCATGAGTTTCTCTTATTTTTGCTGCTAACTGCCAATTCCACATCGTCCATCACCTTACTTATCCATTCTTCTTTGATAGGATCTACTTCTTTTTCCTTCCATTTTTGTGCATAGAGAATTCTAGCTGCTGTCACGACATACATAAACAGCTTAATTATCTTCTCTCTTTTTTCTTTTTCTTTTTTGAACTTCTGTCCCTAAAACCCCTGAGAGAAAAGCTATCATTTCCCCAAATACCTTCACTTTCTTATAAGTCCAACACACATGAAAAAAAATACTCCTGCATTCTCTACCAGTTAACAGAAAGAACATTTGAAACAGGGGAGAGGACATCTCTGTGAAATCCTCACAGGCAGAATGCAGGGATTCCCCTTGGCAGTTCCTTACTTTCGAGGAAGCCAAGAGTTTTGCAAAAGTCCTTTCTTTCATGAGAACATTAAAAAGAGGCTGGTGGATCAGGCCCTTGGCCCATCTAGTCCATTTATATTCAACACCTCCAAGGAGCTCGAGGTGGTTCACACAGTTTTTTCCCTGTCCCCATTTTATCCCCTCAACAACCCTGTGAGGTAGGTTAGGCCGAGGGACAGTGATTGGTCCCTGGTCACCCAAGGAGCCTTATGCCTGAGTACGGATTTGAACCCATGCCTTCCACTTCCTAACATGGAACGCTAACCGCTATATTACACTGCCTCTCTGTTGTAGGGGAAAGCAAGTGCAGAGGTGCATACTTTTTTGCAACCAGGGCTTAATAAGGAATGCATACGAAACTGGCATGAAAACTGAGATGCACTCTTACTGATCAGGAAAGGGATTTTGTGGTGGTGGGGAGTTCCACAAAGTGTCAACCCAGCTGACCAAACAGGTGCCCTCCATGCTAGGAAAGCAGTTAAAGACAACAAAAAAAGAACAACGAAATAAGAGCGCATAGCCATTTCTTTTATCCTCCCTTTTTGTGGTGTTGCCAGCTCTGGTTCGCACCCTTTGGAACCGGGTACCAAAATATTATGACTCGTTTCTACGGATTGCGTCCCTTCCAAATGCTTCCGCCTGGGGTTAAGACACACTGACACCACCCCCTCCTCGCCCCCTTTTCTGACACAAGCAACACCCCCCCCCCCATTTCCATCCCCATCTCCCTGACAGACATTTTGGCTGTGAACCATAAATACTTTGTGGAGGCATCTCCGCTCTGCCAAGAGCTGCTGATTGAAGGACACAATCTGCATGCAATTAAGTGGGTTAATGAAGGTGATTGCTTATTAATAACTCTGACTCCGTCTCGCAGCTCGGGAGATCAGAGGGCAGCTGGGACCCACCCACTCCCGGCTGCTGCTCGGAGGTGCAATGCAGAGGTCCCAATGCGCTGGTCAAATGGCAGAACGCCTGCCGTCCAAGGAAAGACCTGACCCGTCCCACTAAAATACCATAAGCTGCAATTCAGGACATAAAAAATAACGGTCGCTATGGTACTTGGGCAGGAACAGAGAACCGCAAGCCCGGCAGCAAGGAACCCCAACATTAAAGAATCATTGGGAGAGAGATACACCTACTCCGAATGCAGAACTGGCAAAATTAACAGCAAAATTAAGAGAATGTATCGATGAATGTATTTTGGAAGAACGGGTGCCTTTTTTGGACCACTTGAAGAAATATTATAGTACGATGACCTCGCGGGCAGGATTTGAGCTATGAGCAACAGAAGTAATTAGATTATAATATTGCGGTTGTGCTTTAATAGACAGATGATAGAGTGAAGAAACAACTCCATGGGAAACGGGGTGGAAAGTCGACAAAAATGTCGAGACTTAATAAAATACAATTGAAAAGAAAAGGCATTGGGAGAGAGACATAAGCAACCCCGTTAATGTTAACGGCTGGAATCGTGTTTGGGACAAGAGTTCTTTCCGATCATTCTCTGCAAGAACAAGGGGGGAAATGTGCCCCAAATAATGCACAGGTGGTAATCTACATCCTTCTTTGGTTAATAAATTTCACAAAGGAAGCTAAGAAGAGTCTGCTGAGCCCAGCCAATGGCCCATGCAGCCCAGCACGCTGTTCTCACGGTGGCCAACCAGATTCCCCTTATGGAGAGCCCACAAGCAGGATTCGAACGCAGGAGCGCTTTCCCCTCCTGTGGTTTCCAGCAACTGTGGAGGCACGGCACAGCTTCCATCAGCAGCCCTCTTAAACTCCATGAATTTGTTCAAGCCTCTTTTAAAGCCACCAAAGAGGGTGGCCATCACTGCCTCCTGTGGGAGGGAGTTTTGTAGGCTAACTCCGCACTGAATGGAGAAAGACGTTTTCTTTTGTCTGTCCTGAATCTTCCAACATTCAGCTTCACTGGATGCCCACGAGTTTTATTGTTATGATTCAGATCCACAGAGATGGCTGTATGTGTACAGTATGAAGCCCTCCTCTATCCAGCCCGCTGCTCAGTCACTGCCAGCTCAGAAGATGGCTCCCTTCCCCCTCGGCTATTCAGATAGGCTGCTTCTGAACATGGAGGTTCTACTTCGCTAGCAAAGCTAATAGTCATGGACACACTTTGGGCAGAGCCGCACAATACACTTAAAGCATGTTCAACACACATAATTTAATGCATAGGACTTCCCCACAAAACTCCTGGCACCTGCGGTTTCCCCCTCAAAGAGATATCACTCAGCTCACAAGATACAGTATCTGTTTAAAAACTGTATTGTTTACTGGTTTCAAAAAAGTCCTGGGCAGTTCTGAGCACACCCCGCTAGTAATATACAAAGAACAAATGGTTTGTGCATTGCCCCGGGAAACCTTTCAGTTGAAGAGCAGAATCATTATCCTCATCTTTTAATCTGATGATGGTAAAACTGTGCAAATTTTAATTCTGCAGGATCCAATTTTTACCCAGACCCCATTGAAAAAGCAAACTATTGTCGGGGTGTATATTTGCTTTCTGTCTGTCTGTCTGTCTCTCTCTCTCTCTCAGGTGTGTGACCTGGGGGAAGGCAGGGCAGGAGAAGCAACCTGTGTCAATCTCCCCAAATTCCAAAGTTGTACAGGGACAGCCCCTCCCCAATATAAAAATGGTGCCCCCTGCTGGTTCTCTTCTGCAGTTTTGGCACCAAGCAAAGACGTGCTTAACTTTCTCAGGCCTTTTAATTCAATTTGCTCTGTTTTATTTTGGCTGGGATTGTATGGGGGTATTTTTTATGCTACTGCTATTGCTTTTTTATTGCTTCTTTTGTATGTTTTCAATTTGTTTTATTGTGCCCTGAAATTTTGTAAGCCATCCTGGGGATTTTATTGGATGGGGTATAAATCCCGAAAACAAAACAAGCAAACAAATGAATGAATCGTTTTCTTTTCTTTTCATTCTCCTGTTATGCCACGCAAGCCAACATCATACAGAAATCAGAGATAGGCGAGACATCCCACCTATCGGCTTGCAATAGATGCCGCAACAATTAGGGTGTCACCCAAACTATGGTTGATGGACACAGATGAATTACATTCTTTGGAGAAAAGCAAGAGAAATGAATCATTTTTAATGCAATGCTGGTCTTGATCTCCCTCTGTGAACTTTTCAAATCAGCAGTCGCCAACGCAGCGCCCACGGGCAGCAGAGTGCACATCAGTACCTTGTATGGTGCCTGCGAAAATCTCAATAAATATATCTTCAAAAATCCAGGATGCATAAGGGTCTATTTACTCTTCCTTCTTGGTACACTAACCCCTCTCCTCATTTAATTCCCACAACAACCCGGTAAGGTAGGTTAAGCTGGCCCAAGGTCACCCAGTCAGCTTCTTCAGCCAAGTGAGGTTTGAAACCCTGGTCTCCCAGATCCTAGCCTGACCCTCTAACCACTGCACAAGGCTGCCTCTCCCACCTACATTTCATTGGAGATGAGGATGGGACACCCAGCCACTTTCTGAACAGAGGACAAAGAGCTGCTTCTACCTGTGAGGAAGCACAGCAGTGGCTGGTGCAGGTGTCTTTTCCCAAAAAACTGGGGCACTCTGACACTACTTGGCGAGCCTCTCTCTTTTTATAATCTTTTAGAAGCAGCCATTTTGTGTTACGCCCCACCTCAGGCAGCCATTTTGCATTATGCTCCACTCACATGGCAGCCATTTTGGAGGAAGTGGCGCCCACAGGCCCCAAAACATTGGCAGCCACTGCTGCAAAGCAGATTTTCAACCATCTTTTCCCTCTACATACAAGAATGTTCAGGCAGCTCTTACTGCCTATCACCGTCTTCACCAACCTAGTTCTGTCCAGAGGTTGTCGTACTACAACTGCCATCAACTCTAGACCATGGTCAATTGTCAGGGATGAGAGGCCTTTAGTCCAACAGTGTCTGAAGGCCACCACTAAAGTGGTGAATCATTATTAGTAGTAGTAGTAATATAATGCCCTTCATCCGCAGATCTCAGGGCAGTATATCCTGCTACCGTATCTTTTCCAGGATTTCTGATATCTCTTAGTAGGTTTTCTTAGTTGTCCATTGTCAGCTGTTATCTGTGGGATTCAGAGTTCCCTACTTTTTTTTTTTAAGCAGAAGGTAACACAAGACCCATTTTACTCCACATAAAACTACGACCATGCACCCCAATTTTGTGACACTCTGCACAGAGAGTCTGGGTGGGAAGAGCTGTCGGGTGGCCAAATTTTAAAACGTTCAGGTGGGAAAAGGCTGAGATACAGAGGTTTAAAGCCCAGCGGGGGTGTCTTTTCCAGCCTGAGGGCCACATTTGCTTTTGGAGAGCCTTCTGGGGGCCATGTGCTAATAGTGGCCAGGGACAGAGGCAAAAGAAAGTGAAGCAACCCTTTGGAAAAGTCAGATCGATAACTCAGTCAATAGAGCATGAGGCTCTTAATCCCAGGGTGGTGGGTTCGAGCCCCACGCTGGTCAAAAAATTCCTGCATTGAGGGGTTGGACCAGGTGATCTTATGGTCCCTTCCAACTCTATGATGCGCACCCCTATTGGGTTCTGGAACGATGGCAGAGAGAGGGGGCAAAATGTCTCACTGACTATCCAGGAGACAAGCTTGCTGGGACTCTGTGGATCAACACGTGAGAAACCAGGACTTCACCAGCTCCTTACAGCAATGTCCAACCACAGGCTGCAGGTCATATCCTCCAGAGACACCCCCTTAAATAACATGAAATAAAGCAGAAATGGAGTGATCTCGCTGCTGCCGCCCTCCCCTCCACAAGCAATCTGTGCATTGCCCCCACATGATCCAAAGCGCCCTGCAAAACTGCTTGCAATCTGTCTCGCAATTAGCATCTGGAAATTAAGGCACAGAGATTCCCAGCTTAGCCTGGTGTTAATAGGTAGACAGCTTTGCTGAGGGGGTGGGGGTGGGGGGAGGCAGGTGCAAGAGTTAAATCCGCAGAGAGTTGCCTGCCAGCCAGCTACAGAACAGTAGCTTTCAAAGCCCAGCGATTGCTCCCCTAAAGGAAGCCTGCTACGGGCTTGGGTAGAGGAAACAGAACCGAATTCGCCCATGGATCCTTACAGAAAAGATCCTACGAATTTCACAGAGACAGGATGGCTGCATCTCTCCATTTGGGTTAGAATCGCGGAATTAAAAGCCCCCCCTCCCCCCCGTGGGTTATCCAGTTCAAGCCCCTGCAATGCAGGGACCGCCGCTCCAGAATCCCTGGCAGGTGGCCATCCAAGCTCTGTTTCAAAACCATGCAGGTCAGTCGCAGCATCTCAGACTAACCTACCTCACAGGGTTGTTGTGAGGATAACATGGGGAGGAAGAGACTGGTGTGTGTCACCTTGAGCTCCTTGGAGGGAAAGGTGGGATGCAAAGGCAATAAACAAAGATGTGGTACAGTCCATTCTGCCTCTCCAGGACTCTACCATCTCCTTCGGCTGTGTGCATCAATCCAGCATGTTCTCACAACCCCCCACCCCAAACCTCCCTTCTTCTCCCCCACCCCAATCTTTCCCTTCTCCTCTGTGCGGTTTTATCTGACCCGTGCCAACTCCGCTCTGCCTTCAGAGCCTGGCTGCAGCTCCTATCAATTTGTCTCAGCCTAATATCTCAGCGGAGAGTCGTAGCTAATGTCCAGATATTCTTGGCTCTTGTCGGAGCGACCGCAAAAGGCCTCCCCGTTGCCACCACACTCTAAGCAGCATACTGAAGCCAGGAGTTATTTTGCGTCGTGCAGAGCAACAGAGCTATGAAGCAGGCTAGAGATGGCTGGCGCCCTGCCCAGTATGTGTGGGAGAGGCCCAGGGTCTCTCTCTCTCTTTCTGTGTGTGTGGCAAGAGGTCGTAATGAAAACGGGAGCTTGGTGGACACATAGGTGGACTAGGAGTGCACTGTTCATGTAGCCAACAATCAGAAGAAGAGAATTTCTTGGAAGTACCGTATTTACTAATTCGCACCTCCTTTTGGCCAAATTAGGGTGCACGTTAGATTTGATGGCACATTTACATTCACCAGCAAATATTTTTTTGGTTTTTAAGGTTTTGAAAAATTGAGGTGTGCATTAGATTCGAAGGCGCATTAAATTCACGTAGATACAGTAATCGAATTATAGAGTGGATTTGCGTAAGTGGGGAGTTGCCTGCACTTACGTTATGTTGCATTTATGTGTTTTTTATGCTGTAATTATTTATTTTTAATTTCATAAGCCACCTTGAGCATGTTTTCAACTGTGGAACTGCAGCATACAAATGAAACAACAACAACATTTATACCCCGCCCATCTGGCTGGGTTTCCTCAGCCACTCTGGGGGGCTTCCAGCACATACAAAAACATAATATGTATGTATGTATGTATGTATGTATGTATGTATGACAAACCTAGGTGATGACAAACCTAGACAGCAAAAGCAGAGACATCACCTTGCTGACAAAGGTCTGTATAGTTAAAGCTATGGTTTTCCCAGTAGTGATGTATGGAAGTGAGAGCTGGACCATAAAGAAGGCTGATCGCCAAAGAATGGATGCTTTTGAATTCTGGTGCTGGAGGAGACTCTTGAGAGTCCCATGGACTGCAAGAAGATCAAACCTTTCCATTCTTAAGGAAATCAGCCCTGAGTGCTCACTGGAAGGACAGATCCTGAAGCTGAGGCTCCAGTACTTTGGCCACCTCATGAGAAGAGAAAACTCCCTGGAAAAGACCATGATGTTGGGAAAGATGGAGGGCACAAGGAGAAGGGGACGACAGAGGACGAGATGGTTGGACAGTGTTCTCGAAGCTACAAACATGAGTTTGACCAAACTGCGGGAGGCAGTGGAAGACAGGAGGGCCTGGCGTGCTCTGGTCCATGGGGTCACGAAGAGTCGGACACGACTAAACGACTAAACAACAAATGTATGTATGTATGCAAAACCCCAGGACCAACTGTTCTCTTACAGTATATCCCTGCCTGATCACTGAGCTCTTAAGGGGAGTCCCTGTTACTGGTCCCCCATAATTCAGACCCATGCCTCAGTTCCGCCAGAAGCCATGCTACATTGAGTACTGTGGCCCAAATTTTGCAGAACTCCCTTGCAGTTGAGGTGAGGCAGGCCCCCTCCCTGTTGAACTTCCACCACCTACTGAAGACTGTTTCACTCAAGAGGGTATTTTATTTTCACTTTGATTATACAGATATAACAGATTCTTATTTTTCCTGTGTGTTGTATCTTTGTAAACTGCTCAGAGGCCCTTGTAGTTAAGCGGTATATATATTGTTTTAATGGTAATAATAAATGTTCTGTCTGTAAGCACTCCATAACACGAGCAAAACAAAAACACACAGCATCATATCAAGTCCTTTGTGTTACATTTCTTATTTTTTGCTTTTATGTAGAGGGTGTTCTATATTTATGCATGCTTTCTATACATGCTTTTGAATTCTTATCAAACATGCATAATTCAGGCAATGGATTTGATGGTGTTTACGCAAGAAGCTGTTAATGGCATTCCAATATTTAGATTATTTATGCACTTCAATATTATTATTTTGGAAGATATATATATAGCACTATAGTGAGATGTGATAATTATTTACACCCACTCTTCAAACTGGCCTGTTTATACCTGTTTTTCAAATACTCGAAGCTTTCCTTCTTTTTGACTACTATAGTGGAACGCCATAAAGCATGATGAAAGAAAGACGGAAATACTTTTAAAGGGGTTTAACGCATAATCAATAGAAGCAGCCCATCCTCTCATAGGAACATAGCAAGGTGCCTTATTGGTTTGTCTAGCTCAGTACTGTCCACACTGACTGGCAGCAGCTCTCCAAGGTTTCAGGCAAGGGAAGTCCAAGCCCTACCTGGGATCTTCTGCTCTAACCACTGATCACTACCACCATTAACTGCTACTATGGGATATAAATACTGTACAACAAATAAGCTCTTCTGTTTGCCTGCATAAGAAAGCTGGAGGAGCCAGCCAGGTGCAGAGGTCAACCTGGCATCCAGAGATCTCCACAGGGTCACAATTAGACCCACATCAGTCACAAAACACACCTGGTGTCTGGGGAATTCCAAAAACTGCTGTCAAGGGCAGTTGTCTCCAGAATTTTGCCATATATTAAACTCCCTGTGGCAGCCATTTAATGTGATGCCATGCCCACTCGTGGCAGTCATTTTATACTGTACCAGGCCCAACCATGGCCAGCAATTTTGTGAGATGCCATGCCTACCCAGGGCAGCCATCTTGCGACTGGCACTCACAGCTCTCTTCCTAAAACTCGAAGTGTGGCCCCTGGTTCAAAAGACGCTGTCTCAGCCCCAATCACTTTCTGTCAGGGCTGAATTTTAAGACTGCAGGCTCCTCAGCGGCAGGGATCTATGGTTGGAGTCAGGAATGGGATACCCCTTGTCCATAATAGGCCTAACCTTGCCTTGCATTAACATGTGTGATTGTGTGTGTCGGTCCTCTTGTGGCTCGGGGATCAAATCTCACCACACACACACTGGGGCCAAATGCAGCCTTTCGGAGCTATCTTTCTGGCCCTTGGGATTTCTCTAGGTCACACCTCTCTCCCTAAGCCATATATCATGTCTTCCTTGAGTGTTTTTGCCCAGCTAGAAGGTCTCCTTCAACTCTGCCACTTCCCTGAATGGTGGAAAGAGAATGAAGGGGTGTACAGAGAAACCAGACCACGGTATCAAAGGTGAAATTCACGTTCATTGTTCCGCCTGTTTTTGCCTCTGACCCCGAAAGTATTGCCCCCAAAGGGAGCGAGTCCCTTGGGCTGGAAGGGGCGCCTCTACCCCCAAGGCAGAGGCAGAAATCCGGCGCCAGCCTTCCATCAATCCCGTGGAATACCCAGTAGCATGATAGCGTGTTTTCATTATTCCCGAGAGCCTGCTAGTAATTCAATTAAAAGCTTCAGAAGAAAGCAGCCCTCGACGCTACCTGTTTATATCGCAGCAAGCAGCCGGGAATTCTCAATAAACCATCTGAATACACTTGAAATTTATAGCCGTGATATACAGCTCCAGAGAAGAGATGGGAAAGCAACAATGGCAACAGGAAACTTTTGCTCAGATTTAAATAGATGAACTGGCCAGCAGTGAGTCAAGGCCATTTGTCCATCTGACCTAGTGATGACTGCTCCCAAGGAGACGGCCACTGTGGTGCCCTCCAAATGAGGTGGACTACAACTCCCATCATGCCCAGCCATTGCAGTGGATGATGGGAGTTGGAGTCCCCCCCAAAAAATCTATTTATTGTATTTATATCCCACTTTTTTCTCTGAGAAACTCAAGGTGGCATACATAGTTCTCCCCCTCCTCATTCAGTTCCCACAACAACCCTGTGAGGTAGGTTAGGCTGAGAGGCAGGGACTGGCCCAAGGTCACAATCAGTGAGCTTCCTGGCCAAGTGAGGATTCAAACCCTGGCCTACTAGGTCCCAGTCCAACCATTATGCCACACTAGCTCTATA